GTCATCTGCCATTCGAATCAAATCCAAAGCAGCTGCGCCATGGCCTGCACAGGAAAGCAACCAGGTTGTAAACAGTTGGTTGTAACCAAGTTCATTTGGGTTTCCAGGGCGTCGTCGCAAGTCCTTCATGTGGACTGTCAACAATGACATTGCCCTCCCCAAATCAGAAAGTACACACACAGGTTCTGACAGCAATGATGGCGATTGATGTCCGATTATGTTTAATTTTTTAGGCAGAAAGAAAAATGTGCAAAAATGCGCGGATTTCTGTGAGTTTAAAAATATATCGCAAAAATGTGCGAAAATGTGCGGAAATGTGCAAAAATGTCTGAAAATGTGCGAAAATCTGCGAAAAAGGGCGGAAATGTGCAAAAATGTGCGGATTTCTGTGAATTTAAGATATAAAAATGTGCGAAAAATGTGCAAAAATGTGCGGATTTCTGTGATTTCTGTGCGGATTTCTGCGATTTCTGTCTAGCCTTTCTTTGCGCTTAATCCAAAACATTTTACTAGACATAATTACCATGTGTGTTAAATTTAGTACTTCCCAACAGCAATGATGGTGATAAATGTCCGATTATGTTTAAGTTTCCTTTATGTATAATATAATAACATGTGTGTTTGAAGGACTTGAATCACTGAAGCACCCACTGAAGGCTCCTTCGAAAATGGTGGCAGCCAGCCCCATCAACATGCTGCACATGGCTGGCACCAGTTGATCATGTTTGTTTGGTTTCCTGTTTTGGGTATGACAGTCATGGTTTAGTTAACAATTAGTTGTTGAATGTTTCTTACTAAATAGGCATTTCCAACTCCAGTGTTTCGTGTCCATGCCATGATCACTGCATGACCCTTGAAAAGAGCGGCGTGATGACAGCGACCGACAACTTGCCACGCATATTTTCACACTTGTTCAACATGTTTTCACACTTTTCAACATATTTTCACACCTTTTCTCTACCATAATTTTCTGAAACCCCCCTGATCTAGACCTCCCTGATCTAGTCCGCGACTTCGTGTTGGGGATCCAACATTGGAATGTCCTGAGCATCAGCCTCCATAGCATCACCTCCTGCACTCATGCCTCTGCTGGTGCCTCAGACACATCGACCATCTCCCGGTCAACCTCACCTGCTTCCGTGGGTTCGTACTCGATGTCCTCCACTGGTGGTGGTCTCCAAGGCTCCATGGGGCTAGGTTCAACTGCTTCTGCTTGCTCGCTTGCATTCAGCACTGTGACGGGTTCCTGGATATTCAGTACCTGCTTGCCACGCCGCACATCTCGTAACGCTGATAATCTCTTCTTCGGCGGTGGTGCCGAAGCTGGTTTCTTCGCTACGGGAACTGACACTTCCTTACTCCCTGCGACCTCCGGTACATCAAGTTCCACCTCCTTGCCTTCTGGTGCATCAACACGAGAAGAGTCTGCTGGTCTTGAAGAGTCGGGCAAAGCACGACAGCGCCCTTGGACCCAATTGCCGTAACGCTCAATGCACTTCTTGATGCGTTTGCCCTTTCCTGTCTCACAAGTCTGACATTGAGGCGTGGCAGCGTGACTGTCAACCCAGTTGCGCGGGGGAGGAGCCCCGATCTTCAGATACTCCTCTGGGATGATCCCGACATCAACGGGCGCTCGATCATCCAGCGGTTGTGCTTCCCCACATGGTTGCAAAAAACCTTGACATCACTCCTGATTGAAATTGAAATGGAAAAACATATTTCAAGGACTTGGCGTTGAAAACTTTCAAGACGCCTTCAGGGTTCTCATCCGTTGGCACGTACGCACAAACAACATGCGAAAACGAGTTCCTTGCTGGGAACAAGTACGCTGCTGAGATGAAACGACCAATCGACTGGACAGACTCGGGAGTCTCAGCACAAGAACCGTGGAGCAATAAAACGCAGTCGGACGAGCGTCGGTGCCTTCCTGATTCCTCAAAACCTCATAAGCACTGCGGCCAGTGTTGGCAACCTTCCCATGCAAGTTGCGCATGGCACAGCAGTACCTGGCAACCGACTCCTGTCACGTCAAGACCATGCTTCCTAAGCTCAAGACGGACAACGCAAATTGCTTCCTTGATCTCCCTGACACCTCGTTCTGCACCCCCGACGACATTGTCCTCCTGAGGAGCTGCCTTGGACACCGTATAGGTCCTGACCAAGTTCGCACGCCTCAACAGCTCTCCAACATCATCGGCGGCATCTGTCCTGAAATCGATCGGCCCCTCCGCACTTCCTGAACCCAAACCGAACTGGTCCATGATAGCACGGATGGAAGCGCTCGTAGTCGCGACATTCCTCAGACACAAGACACGTGTCCAAAAGACCTGAAAACATCTGACGAAACACTAACAACTTGACCTTCTGACCTGCGTGTCCCAAAAAGTAGATATCAACCTGGACCTCCAAGACACGTTGAGCTCTGGGACGACGGGGACTCCTACCAACACCTCGCCCACTGGCACATTCGATGCAGTCCGGGTCGCGCGGGTAGTGCCCTCTCAAGACACGGCGTCGCAATCCTGCACGTAGTCTTCCTGGTCGGCATCCATAGGTACCTGGCGGTCCTTCAAGGCCTTTGGTTTCGTTGCATTCACATTAGCATTCGAACGCCTTGTCTTCTGTGTCACTCGGAGCCAGCCTCCCAGATGATGATGTCACTGATCGACAAACCGTGCTGCTCATGCCACAGGTAATTCTCATCCGGGCCCAACACAACCAGCCAACCACGCTTGGTCAACTGCGTAGTACTCAGGATGTTGTGCGCTGTCTGGCCAACATGGGCCTCAATCTGGACCTGAATGGACTTCAACCTGCCTTCATTGTCAAGAGCCTCCAACTGCACGCTCACTGCGACCTGCGATGACATCACAACCTCGGAACCATTCGCGGCTACAAACCTGGTGTTTGTTCCTACCGCCTCTAGCTGACGTGTGCGATACTGGGACTGGTAACTTGCAGATAGCACAGACATGGACGCTCCCGAATCAAGCAACCACCAATGGCCTTCTGCCATCACCGCGCTGCTGATCAACAACGGGTCACTCATCAAAAGTGGCATCAGTACTGCGACGTTCGCAGTCTCCTCGGCCTCATCATACCACGCATCCTCTGTCCACTGCTCTTCTTCCTCCCAGCCCTCGGGTATGGAGCGATTCCGATTGGTGGGATCATACTCAGTTCTCTCAAAGTTGAGTTGCTGCAAGGCGCTGCATTTCTCAAAGGCTCGTGGACGAAATTGCGCCTGTGGCGCCAGCTGATTGACTGTCGTGCTTTGGTTTCCTATCTGT